GTTTAGCATAGTTCTGGGTATGAATACTTGTAAGGGTCACACTGGGTGTGGGAGCCACCACTAAGAAGGCTTATAGTCCGTATGTAATATAAGGAGAAGAGAAGGAAAGCAGGCTCTGGCTTCACTGCTTTCTGCCTGCCCTGCCATGGACTTCAGGACATTTCTCGTCTATTAAAACTTATTAGGAATGTATCCTCATTGCAGAACATGTATAGAACAAGTGACTGGAGATGCCAGGTTGTATTGTATTGCACAAAAAAGTAGTATTGTTGCCTTGTCAGCATCCATAGACACACCAATATGAGTTTATACCATGGTGACTCATTAATACCTATAGTTTTGTTCTGATATAGTCTGCCATTTTGTCTTATTATGGAGCTATCCAGAAGAGGAACATATGCTACCTTTTGAACTAGGGCCTGCCCTAAAAGTTCAGGACAAATGTTCTCAGCAGTAGGCAGGATCAACGCTGCATCAATAGTACAAGTCTTAGCTTTAGTAGTGCTCTCAATGTAGACACATTTGATGAAGTGGTGGTCTTCAAAAATTGCTTCTGTTCTTTATGCTCACATCAAAAAATCTCCAAAGCTTTTATTTTAATACACGATGCTTGATCCCCAAGTGGAGAGCAGTTTTGAAGGTTTCATAGCTTCCTTGGATAGCTAGTTGCCTGGTAGATCTGAGTGCCAGGACTCAACATTTTTGGACTCTTTTCAACATACTGGTTTGCTACTGGCCTGCAAGAGTATGGTTGATAATGAATTTCCGTTTGGTGCTGAAGATTTAAAGTCCAGGAACTTTTCAAGTGCAAAGGTGCAGAGATGAGGCCAACAATGGTCTGAAACCTGAAGCAGGTGGTAGCTACTGTCTGAATCAATGGGCTTAATACCATCTTTGAAGTTCCACTCATGTATAGAGATCTGGTCACACCACCCATCTGCTCATTGCAGCAGACAGCCAAGGTCCACATCTCTAGGTTGATGTCTTTCTGGCACTTAACTCCTAGAATGAGCTAAATTTGCAGTGTTCTTTCTGTGGAAAAGCCAAGATGGAACACTTTCATGACAGGAGAGAATGATAGATGTCTCAGTATCAGAACATAAGCAAAGTAGGCCATGGAACAACTGCACAGACATGGAAGAAGCAGTGGAAGGATGCAGGTGCATCATGGACCAGGCTACCTCAGAGAGCAGCCATATGTTCCCTCTTGTTTTGTGTTCTGGAACGTGGGTGTTTCCTGGCTCTTGCTCTTGGAGATTACCTACATGGCAGCCATGGGGAGAATTCCTAGGGGAAAATCCAGAAACATCTCAGGGAAAATCTCCCTTGGACCAGAAGCAAACTCTTAAGCAAAGGCTGAATGACAATGCGTTGTGAAGAAGAGGGTAAAATTAAGATAAAGAATGAGTATATGTCATAGCTGGATGATGGGGTTCTCCTGGTTTCTTTAGATTAGTGAATATCACAAAGGATTGTAGGAAGCCCAAAATCCTTATTTATAAACATTGGGGTACATTGTTATTTCAGGATTATGGATAGTCTTGCAAATTGAGTAATATTTTATCTCCAATTATGGACACTTTGAATCAGCTATTGACAATGAAGATGAATTCCCCGAAATTTCCAGGGTACATTTTGTGTTTAGACTGAAATTTAATTTGAATTTCTGATACTTGAGATGAAAGTTCTAAAACCATTCTCTATATGATGCGTGCTGTAGATTCCCAGTAGACATTTTAAAAGAATTTAGAATAATGTTGCTTTACTTTATTCCATACATATATTATTCCTAAGTCAGGTATGGGGTTAACTTTAATCAAGTACCTTATAGGATTTATTGAGATTAAATGGGTTAATACTTTTAGGCTTTTAGAACAATGTTTGACACATGGCTATGCCACATTCAAGTCAGTCACGGTTATTTTCATATTTTCCTCTTTCAATTTTGTTTGTTCATCTAACTTTAATAGGTTAATTTCTCATATTAATTTGGATTCAAAAATTTCTTTTGGAGCCAATTTAATTATTAAGTTTTCTTAAAATTTCACTCATATTTTCTAGAAAAAAACTCGTAATTTTTGACACAGTCTCTGTTATTTTATTTCTGTTTGACTTGTCAAATATTTGTCTATCTTATCTAACTTTTTAGGGCAAGGGTCAGATTTGGGTTCATTTACTGGTCATTTTTTTATTTGTTCATTGATTTCTTGTCTTTTAAATTAATTACTGCTGCCATTGGGGGTTTATTTCTTTCTGGTTTTATGATAAGCAGTTTTCTCATTTTATTCATATCTAAGTAGTTTGTGATTTATTTTTGTTTCTCTTTGCATAAGAGTGTTTTGCCAACATATAAAATATCCTTTAGATAGGTTTCTTAGTTACTTTTCTTGTTGTTGAGACAAAAATACCTGACATCAGAAGTTAAAGGGGAAGAATAAAACAAAGTTAAAGGGGAAAAGGTTTATTTATCTCACAGTTTATAGAGATTTCAATCCATAATTGGCTCACTTCAAGACAGGGGTGGCACATGGCAGAGGGACAACAAGTCGTGGCACTGAAAGACAACAAAAGCAACAAGGGAAGACAGCTTAACAGCATTTTCCTGTCTCTTTTATGTTGTATCCAGCCTACAAGGACTAGGGCAGTGTTTATCTGATCAATGGACTGATCCACCAATTACCTACTCTCAAACCCAACTCCCTTAACTTTGGCATTGCATTATAAATCAATCACACAATGTAGGTCCAGCCACCTCTGGGAAAAAAAAAAAAGAAAAATCTTTATGACCATATTAGGTTCTTGTTGGGTGGGGGGAATCTAGACACAAACCATAACATAGGGATGCGAGGATAACAATGTCACTTTTCATGGAAGGATCTGATTATCGTTACTTGAACACACCACTTGAACTTAGTATTTGTAAAAAAAAAAGCATCTATTTGGCATGCTGGGCTTCACAACAGTATGTGATATATGTAATACTACTACATAGACTACTCCTAAAAATAGTCACGTGCTTGAATCTGTCTTTAGTAATTTACAAATATTTGAACTGGATACCAAGTTAAAGGGCACAAATAAACAAATGCATGGGTCACTTCATGGAGCAACTGACCTATGACAAGGGAATTGCATGGAAAAAAGATGCTAGGTTAGGCTGGGAAAATTAAACATAGAATGTAAGAGCATAAATGGAAGACACACCAGGTGCTATATGTGGTTCTTCTATGTGCCACAGCCTAGTAGGGAGATCTTTAAAACTTACCAGAAGAGCAACTGACATGCTCATCACTACTGGGTGTTCTTTTCTCATCATTACTGTTCTTATAACAAAACATACTCATCTTCTAGCTATCTCCAGGAGATAAAATTCTCCTTATGTCCAAGTAAGTCATACTTTCCTGTTAGCCAATTTAGGAAGAAGCGTGGCTTCCATCTACTGGACAAACTTAAAGTGCTTCCTCCACGTCAGGCCCTGTTCTGGGCATATAAATCCAAGAAATCAAATATGTCATCAATACCCATCTACAAGATTAAGAGTCTTCTGAGGTTGCTTGTGTCATCACACTTTCCTTTGTTTCCAATTCTCTCTCATAGGAGTCAGAATTTCCTAAGCTCCTCCGGGCTTTCATTGGAAAGGGGAGCAAAATTTTTCCACAGCATTCCTTTTTTTCTTAAGGCTACAGTGACCACTTATCTATTTTGATAGAGGGCTTTGTCCTTGGCAGAAAACCCAAGTGAGGGCTCTTCAGTCTGAAGAAATGAATCCTCATATGACAGACTTGAAAGATAGAGATCAATGAGAGACCCATGGAGACTGGTGTTGAAGTTAAACAGAGGCAGCACTTAGTTTACTATGGCGTAATGGGAAGGAGTACAAGCCCAGAGCTTTCCCTTAGTTACAAGTGACTCATGTTGGTGTCCTATACAGTCTGGCTCCATGTCCAGGACCACAACAATACAAATCTGCAGCCAGAGCTTTGCACAACCAGATAAGGCCTTTTCAGAATCAAAACCAGAAAGAACACTGGAATGTTAGCTTGATGTTTGTTCTTGGAAATAGGAACCAGTGGCCAAACGTTAAGTGACCTCTCATTGTGACAAGATAAGAGCAATGTAATAATCACTTCACTTGCCATGATTCTTCAGAATACTTTATAAAAATGAAATAAAATCGAACTCTCATTGCTTTAAGATTCTAAAATATGTTTAGAAAAAGACAATAAATCATTCTGAAATTGAATGACATTATATTTAGGTTGCTTATATGAGATTGGAGAGCTAAGGCTTTCAAACTCTCCCTTCTAATGATTTGCTTCTCTCGAGCACATCCTCTGAACCATTTTAATAGGTATATCACACTAAAAATAACACAAAAACACATACTCATATCAAAGTCATCTTAATGTGGTGGACATTAAGGTCAGGTGGACTATACCATTTATGTGCACAAATGCTATGTGTGAGATTGTCCCAACTTTCTTGAACTCCTTGTTTTGAAAACAAGGCTGTGTATGTGAAAGCACATTGTTTAGTAAGTAGGATGAAAACATCCTTAAATACTCTTTGCTCTCCTCCCCAGCTTTAGTAGGGCGCCCTCAGAACATGTGTGTGCTAGTGTGTATACATGTATGCACGTTTAGGTTACAATGAATAAAGAAATTTGTACCAGAGGTGACATTTGTCCCTAAAAAATGCCTGGCTTTTTATTGACAATTCAAAAGAACCCATAGTGGGATGAAGGCCGAGGTACCATGCTGTGTATCTAGAAAGTAGATTTGAGTATTTTAATAACTTAAGGGATTCTTTTATTTGGCCTAATCACACACATATATTCACACTCAGTCACTTAAAATGATCTCTCAGTCACGTTTGTATTTAGGATGATCTCAAGACATGTGAAACTCAAGAGCAAAAACACTTACTGAGCCATACCATGGTGACTCTTAAAACACTTTGGGCCAGTTGATAAAGTAGAAAACAAAGGACATGAGCCAGAATACATTTTGTGATAACTTTTTATCTTCTCTTTAGAAAAAAAAAATATGTACAAAAAAACTAGGAAGAGCCAACATGAAAGTGTCAAGGAAAACATTCTGACAGGCGAGGGGCTCCTTTTCTCAAAGGAGGTTCACATGAGTTATCACCATGCTAGAAAAATGGGATGCAGTTAAAATCTTAGAACAGGTAAAGTCACAAAGTGAGGCTGCTGCTCTGGGGCTCTACGTTGCAGATACTTTGATCCCTTTTCTGTAAAATAATACTGTGCAAACTGTAAAATATTCATTCTCATATAAAGTCAGTACAATATGACATACAAAACTGTTTAGTTGACAAGGAAGGCTGGTGCTGACTGTTTGTTGAAAAGAAAAGAAGGCTTCAGTGTCACACGCCTGCCCCAGGACAAGATTCCAGAGAGATCTTGAGTTTCTTAGGTGGGCAAGACCCTTATTTAAGGAAGAATCCTACAACCCAAACATCTCAAATCTAGGATTCTCCACTAATTTTCAATGCAAAATAGGTGATTTCACTATAACTTTTGATGCAATAGCCTGATAACAGGTCAGAACACAAAGTACTCTGAACATTTCCAGAACTGATTTTGAGATTTGCTATTAACCAACATTGCCCTTCCTGAAACTCAAAGGTTAAACTTCCATTAAAATCCAAAAATTCTGGAGGAGGCAGAAACTGTGGTAATAAAAGTTTAAAGTGAATCGTTATATCAATTTATTTGTGTTTATAAAACTGAGAAAAGAAGGTTTGTGTACAGATATCACAAAACAACATCAACCATCGGATAAATGTGGTTCTTCAATGCACACTTGAACAGAAGAAAATTTTGTTGGTTTTAAGATTCTGCCGTAAATATGTTAAAGCTGACAAAAAAAAAAATCAGGGCAAGCTACGTCACTTTTTCATACAAAAAATGTACAAAACATTAGCCTCTAACTAGATAAACATAATACTTGTCCTCACAGTCTGACATTAAGTAACTGTGTATTTTGAAGTATTGAACTGGGAGGTGATTAAAAAACAGCTCCTGTCCGTCAGTCCTCTCAGGTGACTTCAGTCATGGATGCCGAGTGATTCTGAAAGGCAAATACAGACACACAGTTTTAGATGGGGTTGACAGACTCCTGGACACCTTTACTCATCCTTGAACATTTCTTTTCCGTTTTGTCTCTTGGAGTTTGAGGTTCCCTCTTCCCATCCGCGCTCTGCCAAGGTTCCTCAGATTTCCATTACTTGTTCGTTTAAATTTTCCCTTACTTTTACCACTGCAGGATCATTTCTTCATTTAAGTCTCTGCCTTTATAATTCTGTTCTATTCTTAACTATTTTCTAATATGAGCATTGAAGGACCCCAGAATATCATTGCATCTAAGAGTAAGTGGAAAAGATACAGAAAGTCAATATTCCAAAATAAGTAGAGTTACGTCTATGGTACCACCACTTTTGAATCAAGAATTCTTCAGAATCATTTGCAAATATTCATCTTTTTTCTGATACCGTACTTGCTGAACCTAAGTTCCAGGCATCGGTGGTCCCAGTAGCAATTGCATTTTGTTTTTGTGTAGTTAAAGAAAAAGTAATCTACCTAGTGGAAAGCATAGGGAGATGATACCATATCCTGCATGAGTTAACAAAATTTGTTCAGTGCTGATGCAATTTCTTTTTTCAGGTGACTCTGGGCATAAGGGTATAGAATGGCAATAGATAAAAGCTATCTCTTTAAGACTGCAGTAACTCTTTACAATCATAAAATAACACACTGGAAATTTGCAATATTCTTGTTAATTGTGTTTTCTATAATTCTTCATTCCTGGTACTTCAGAAAATTTTTAGAAAATGTTCCCTTGTCAATCAACTATAATAAATGGAATCATGGAAAGCAAATATACAAGTGTTAATTTGTTTGTTTGTTTTTTGAGGCAGGGACTCACCATATAATTCAGGCTGGCCCTGAACTCACTATGTAACCCAGCGTGGCCTCAAACTCATGGTGATCCTTCTGCCTCAGCCTTCTGAGTGCAGGAATTACAGGCTGGCACCACCACCACTACAGGCTCACTGAGTTATTTCTTAAAAGAAGGCAGCTCTGTAGGTTTGAGGGCCCTGTGTAGCAGACAGAATATCTCAGGAGAAAGAAAAGGAGGATATTTAGGTTCCTCCCTACTCAGGAATTTCTCTATATAATGTTTCTATTTGTGGGATGGATTTCATGTTTATTAGTGTATGCTCTAAAGAGACTTTCTAGTCCTCTCTCAAATCCCCAGCATCCAGGAAGATACTTCTATTAAAATAATTACAAAGAAGCACTTTTTAATGGAAACCATGGCTATTGGAAGTGTACCTAAGGTTCTTATCCAAAAGGCGAAATACAGAGGATATTTATTTTGAAAGACCTGCAGCCCAGGTCAAACACTCTTATGGCATATTTCCATGTGCAAGGATGAGATTTATAGATTTTATAAAGGAATTTTATTTGAAGGAAACCTCAGAATGTGCAGTGCAGTAGAATGTGAAGATCTTTAGACCTTGAGCATGTTAATTAAACTTTTAATCTTAATTTCTTCATCCACAAAATAGGATAATAACACTGAGAACAGTACTATCATAGAGATTAAATGATTATGATTCTTAATAGCTGCTAGTTCTCTTTTCTTCACTAACAAGCAAAGGGTACAACTTCTCCGTTATCCATATGGAAACATTTAGTTTCATAAGCAGATGCTTGTTTACTGGGCATCTTCCTCCGAAGGTGAAGGTGAGCCTTTAATCTATCTTGAGAATACCAGTTCTTCCAAACTTCTTAGTACTTCACTTCTTAATGTAAAGAGATCCATCACCTCCTCAAATTCCTGTGTGTTCTGTATATTTCTTGGCCTGGCTAACTATGAACAGTCTCGAGGGAGACCGAAAGAAACCTCGGAAGAGTTTTAGACAGAGGGCATGCCCGAGCAGAGCTGGGAAGAATGATTAGTAGCAAACTATTCAGGGAACAGCATTTAGGACACATGATTAATAAGTCTGTGGAAATCAGTAAGTATTTTTATCCTTTTTAAAACTGGCCTTTGTCTTCATTTACTTCATCTCAAAATAGTGGATAGTGGTTTGATCTCTGGGCACAGGAAATTGATGTTACATAGTAAAGAAAAGCTAGAATGATCATATTTCACCATTTTATTGCAAGGTAATGTTATTTGCTAACTCATCATTAACCTCTACCAACAAAGCGTAAAAAAAAAAAGTTTTTCAGTTTGCTATTTCAAATTCTGCCATGCAAAATGATCACTTTAATTCAGGACAAGGGAAAACAAGCGAAAAACAAAAAATACTTGGCATTATGTTTAATAGTAAGCTCATTAATAAAATGATTATAATAGCTTATATCAGACAGATGTATAGTAATGGATCTTTAAATAATGTAAATATTTCATATTGCCCTGAAATATAAGGATTGCAAGGGGAAGGGATTTACTTTAGCTTTTTTTTGTTTTTGGGTTTTTTTTTTTGCACCATCTATAAAAATAGCTTAGTAATAAGATATTATATACAAACAAGACCCCAAGATAACCAGGATATTATAAAAATGAACACAATAGAATCCCACATACTGTGAAAAGCAGCAGTCTAACTAAAACATTGTTTTATTATCAATTTCCTACTTGTTTTTCCTCCTTGTTTAAAAGAATTCACTCATCCCAGCTTTTCTACTTCATAGCTGTGTGGCTTTGGGTAGGCCATTTAATGATGCTGTTTATAGCTTTTTTATCTTAATCTGTGAAATGGGAATTATCTATTAAATATGGTGGTTTTTAAAAATAAGTATATATTCGTAAAGTGCTTAGCAACTGTTTGCAAGCAAAAGTAAGTGATTCATATTATCTTTCTAGGCTTTTAGCTACCAGATCTTCTCTGTGGTTTCTGAGATTTTTTTTTCTTAAATTTAGACTTACACAACATTTAAGCCACCAGACCACAAATATTTGAAAAAAATTGTGTGTGTTTTGAACACATAGATAACTTCCTTCTTGGTTATTGTTCCCTAAGTAATACAATGATTAGTGTTTATATTGCATTGGGTATCCTAAGTACTCTAGATATGATATAAAATAATGTATGTGAGTTTGTGCAGGTTATTCACAAATAGTACACTATTTTATGTAAATGTGTTGAGCAAACTTGAATCTTGGTATTCTCTGTAGAACCTGGAACTGATCTCCTATGGATACCAAGGCACAACTCTGTTGTGTAAGGAATAATTAGTTACTAATTTAAATTGGCTGTCCATGTGGATAATCCAAATCTCATGAAAGTGAAGTACACTGAAGTTCAAAGTACTCAAAATCTTCATGGGTTTAAGCTAAACATGTGGTAGTTTTATTTCTACCATCTAAAAAAACTTTCTCTATGAATTATTAACCAATTTTCATTATTTCTACCAGAATCATAATCTCCTTGGTTCGTTATCATCTACACTTTACTAAAAAGTTATTGAGGGTTTATGATTGCAAACCCTAGATTGAAGTCAAGACTTCTTGGCAGAGCGGGTAAAGCTTTTTTTTTCGAGAGGGCTTACAGTGAATGAATCATATTCTTACTGATGCTAGTAGATTCAGTGGTGTCCTGCCTCTAGTATGGAAAAGGACTGGTTAATTTACAAAGCCTGTGGGTTTAGTTTGTTAAAACCACTTCAATATACCTGTGCACTTAAGGTTTCCAGAGGGCTTTCTATCCTTGGGAAAGCCATTAGAGGTACTCCACGGGAATCCTCAGATTTGGGTTTGGAAGGAGTTCCTTGCGTTCCTTTAAAGTTATGAACCACACACATTCCCTGCAGGATAAGGGGAAAAAAGATTGGGGTCAGACTCCAGTCATCAGTGCCTGACCATCCCTGACTGTGGCAAGGCCTTTCCCCCCAGTATCATCACCATGGAGACATTTTTCTTTGAGTGAGTGGATGGGTAGGAACTAGAGGGAAGAGTTGAGGTATCTGCTGAGCACATTTTAAATACTGATGAAGAATTTCTTTGTTCACTAGTCACAGGCAATCATTCCACCCCATTAAGCCTGTTTCCTCAGCTGTAAAATGGGAATAGGAATAACTATCTAATGGAGTTGTAGCAAGCAAAGATGATGAATATAAATAACTTCTTAGGAACAGTGCATATTTATTGAGGACCACTTAGGCCTCTGGCACTGTCTTGAGAGCTTCACTTCATCTTATTTAAGCCACCCAACAATTTTCTACAGAAGATACTCATTATAAGCTGCATAGAGAAATGAATTTCGATAGTATCCAAAGTCACACAAAGATACACTCCAGAACCCCTCAATCACACCACCATATTGCTACTGAATAAGTGACAAATACATAGCTACGACTCATTCATTGTTGGCTAGCTCTTAACTTCTAACTGAAATGATGATCTTCAAAATTTGTGACTATTTTTTATGTGCATTAAAGAACTCACATGTGGTACTTTTATTTCTACCATCTAAAAACTTTCTCTATGAATTATTAACCACTTTTGATTCTATTCTACCAGAATCACAATCTTGGTTTTTTATCATCTACTCTGCTCTTTTTGCTCATGGACTCTTTACCTGACTCTATTTTTCATTTTTACATCTAGAATTTTTGAATCATTCTTACAATTCTTTGAGCCAGGCAGAACATTTACATAGATGCTGTTTATCTGGATCACTTTTTTTTTTTACTCTACAGAAGTTTAACCTTTTCCCCTTAGGAAATGGGTGAGCACAGCTGTAGGGGGCCCTGGAGTTCAGACACCCATGTCTGACTCATGGCTTTGGGTGAGTTACTCACTTTGAATCTCACTTTCTTTGTCTCTAAAATGAGGATAAAATATTGCTGTTTGCCTTATGAACACATACTTAGATGCATTATTAAATGTAAATTATGTAATAATCACCCTCCCCCAAATAATTAACTTTCCTCTTTCCTCCACTTTCTATGGGAAACACAAACACATAACACAACACTGAACACATGCAGCCAATATGTTTCATTCTTAGTTTTATTCTTTTCTCTCTATCTGTTCTCCAAATCTCTGTTCTGGAAATGCCTCCAGTCTCCTCCTAAACATGCCTCCTCTCTCTTTCTCAGCTCAGTGTGTCTATCTCTGAGATATGTACTTAGGGATGCATATGTGCAGACAGATTAGTCTTTATCACACCAAAGCAATTCAGTAACAGATATGGATCTTAGGTAAAGGTCATTTACGGAAAACAAATTTTGTATCAGATAGGAAATCACTTGAAAGCAATAACAGACCAAATGATGACTGAGTGCCAAAAAACAGGGCTGCAATTACTGAGAAAAAACAAGTTGAATGTTACAACAGAATTGGTATGTGAGGTTGCAACAAATACAAAGGCTTTTGTAGTTATCATCCCATCGAGATTTCATAAAATTGCTTGGGACTCAGAATTCCCTTTATCTGTAACTAGAGGTGGCTGGCTGTAGGACTGGTGGACATCAAAATTTGGGGGCTTTTATTTGGAGCTCAAATCTTCATTTATTTACCACTTAATTCTCTTGGAAGCATCTTTTAAATTCACCTGCATTTTTTTCTCTCTTTTAGGAAAGCTTTCCTAGAAAAATATCTTTTTTGAGATATCAACATTTTAGGATCAGTTCAGCACCACTTTTCTTGTAACATCGTCCAGAGAGTTTGCATTTCAGTATCTCATCTTTTATTATAGAAAAAATTGAATCTTTTCAAAGTAACATTGAGTTACAATAGAACTTCCCAATCAGCATGCTGAATAAATGTGTGTTTTCTGTGTGCATCATGGCAGACAAAAGAGTAGGGAAACTGTTAGAGCATGAGACAGGCATACATGTATTATGTAAGGTGGGGAGGGCAGAGTGGAGGTAAAGAAAACGTTATGTGACTGTAAAACACGATGTGATGTGTGAAGTCCTAAGGAGACTTCAAAGGGCAGAACAGGAAGACGGAAGACTTTTGAGACCATGATGGCTTTGGCTTTCTTCTCCTCCAGGAAGATTTCTTCTTTGTTTGTTCTTTTGTCTTTATGAAACAGGGTATCCTTAGGCAGTTCAGGCTGGCCTTGAGCTCACTTTGTAGCTCAAGCTGGTCTTGAACTTGCTACGAAACTCCTACCTCAGCCTCCCAAGTGCTGAGATTACAGGCCTGGCTTGTAGTATAGGAATTCTTTTTTTGGTACTGGAGATTGAACTCATGACCTTGCGCTTGCCAAGCAGGGGCTTATGCCATTGAGTGAAATCCCCAGCAGGTCCTTGGGGGAAGATTCCTGACTTTCAATAGGGGATTTATTTCTTGCAGAATATTTGAGCTTTTAGCTTTTTAAGACTTTCTATAAATCCTTCAGGGGCTATTTTAAATTTTTGAGGGAAAAATTTTAAATGTCTCACACTCTGTGGTATTCCATGTAATGGAATATTACACTGCAATAAAAGGAATACATTATTAATACATTGTAAACCATAACTGAGTGTCAAAATAATTGTGCTACACAAAAGATACCAGAAGAATAACACATATTATGCGATCCCATTGATATGAGACCCTAAAAAGGCAAACTAATATAGAATGATGGAAGATTATATTTCTCTGGGGTGAGGGGAATGAAAGGGGGAGAGATTTTGCCATATATATAGGTCAAGATTTACCGAATTGGACACTCATGTACCATGGGTGTATGCCCGCCATACCTCAATAAAACTGTGATAAAAGGAAAAACAAAACCAATACAATATAAATTCTTTTTTTCCAGTTCAACTCAGATTAAGGTATTTTATAGGTAAAAAAAATGTCCAGACCCTATTTGAAAAATGAAAACACTGCCAGAAATGGAGACTTCTGGAGAAAACTGAGTTAAACAAGATTTCTCACATTAATTTTTGGTGGAAAAAGATGCTCAAGAGGTACGCCCAAGTGCCAAGTCTAAAAAAGAATTGTCGTGATTATATTTCTGAGCAGGACGGGTACCATGATGACTCTTGGGCTAGCTCTGAGCTTTTCAGGATGCTGGGGGAGAAGGTGCTTGCTTCTACCAGTACTCTTTCTTTCCCTAGAAAGACCTAGAATAAATAATGAGAGAAGTGTGGTTTGAATGCATGTCACATTACCTGTCCAAGTTATTATCTCAGTGTTGAGGGGAGTGGAGAAAGATAAGCTTGTTGGAGCAGTCTGGTCCTTGACTCCCAGAAAGAAATGGCCAGTCATATTTCTCTAAAATAACTCTTGCAGCAAAAGAATGCATGATATCTGGAGAAGAATTTCAACTCAGAAGGGTGGCACAAAGCTCATCATAACTTTAGGCATCCTTTTAGAAGGTATAAGAAGAAACAAAGCAGAGTGAAAGAAGCCAACCTACCAGAAATAAAGCCACCGCAGTGCCTAGGATGAAACCTGCTATCACATCTGAGCAGTGGTTCCGGTACTCAGAGACCCGGTTGAGGCCCGTCAGGAAGGCTGTGCAGAGGGTGCCCAAGCACAGCACCGGTTTGGCCAGTCGACTGCTTTTTGTCTTGATTGTGCTTGTGATGTACATCTGGAGAGAGAGACAACCCAAACAGTGACTACAGGACTTCCTCACCATGGAGAGTACACGGGCATGCGCTTGAGCAGGGGCTGTGCCAAAGCACGCACAGTGGTGACTTTGTTGAACAGGGCCACTAACCTATGCAGCAAGAATCTTAGATAGAAAATTAGTGTGTAGTGGCAGTGAGCAGGTGTACGTTAATTCGTCTTTTCTAGCGGGCGTGTGAATAGAAATTACAGTGACTAGCACAGGGAGAACTGGACCATGATTGGATTCAGAACATGCAAGAAACCAGGAAATTATTTGGAGGTATTAAGGAAACCCAGGTAAGCATTTACTTATCAAATAAATCTGTGGAGATGAATTCTGTGGCGAAGAGGACCAGACAGACAAAAAATTACATGTTTTGCATTTCTGCCTCTCATTGTCCTACTCGCTTCTCCACACTTTCAGGCAATAACATAAAAGCGCGAACTGACTAACTGATAAACGGAATTAGATTTCCAAGCTGCTGTCAGGCAAATGGGTCTCAGCTGTGCTGAGCAGATTCCTGAGTTTATTGGAATAGTTGTGATCAGTTCCATCTCTTCATTTGTTCCAAGAGTGTTTCAAAAGAGTAAACGTTTTCACGTGTGCCACCACGTACAAAAGGATAATGAATGATATTTCATTTATGCAACTGGGTAAAACTTTTAAGTTTCATAGGCTGAGCTGACAAATGTGTACCTCGTGGTTTAGTTTGGAAGATGTACTTTTTCAAATGAGAACATCACCAATAGTTACAAAGCACCACTAGGGGGCATTATTAACCCATCATTTCTTAACTCAATTGCATTTAGTAACTGAAAAGAAATAGACTGATACTTAAATTATAGCACATAATGTATTTGCCCTAAGCTTAACATATAAGTCTCATTATTGTATATAATGAATGCCTTAAAAAACAGTTAGATCAAAGTAGCATAAATTAAGTCAAGTATGACAGTACACACTTGAATTCTTTGAGCATGCTGGGAGACTGTAACAGAACTGCAAACTTGAAACTAGCTTGGGCAACTTAACAGGGCCCTGCCTCAAAACTTTAGAAACATTTTTTAAGGGCTAGGTATGTAGCTCAGTGTGAAAGTCCCAGGTTGAATCCTTAATTAATACCAATCACAAAAAGTTACATAGATTACCACACATTATTGCAGTACTCTGGATTGTACGGGAAATATTTCTTGAAATTTTTACTAAGAATAATTTAGTTTTTATATTCCTATATGGTTTCTAATTATATCTTTTATAAATCTTTCCTACAAGAAGAGCATAGGTTTATGATTAGTATTCTTTACAGTATTACCCACTACCTAGGGAATATTTTTTGCATTTTTTATTGGCTTGCTTCTTTTTCAGTTGACAACAATTATACATATTTATCAGGTAAAATGTGATATTTGATACATATATATGCACACACACAGTGTGTAATGATCAAGTCAGGATAATCAGCATATACTTCACTGAGTACTTTCTAAAACCACTTAACATATAATGAGGCTCAGAAAATGTTTGTACAATGGGAATCTTGTATTAGTGTTTATCTGATTATAGCCTGCTTGCGAGGCATGAATTGAATTGGGTTAGCGAGGCATGAATTGAATTGGGTTACATGATAGCTGAATCCTTGATACTATGTATTTTAGCAGCATCTATTCTGTGTGTGCTGACTATATTTGTTTCCTTCTTCCCTACTGAAGTTTATGTCTCACTGGATAATGAGACAGTGATTTATTTTAACAGGTTTATTTTTATAATAACATTGTCTACATTAATTTCATACAGCAATGTGATAAATGTGAATGTGATAAAAATACAAAATGAGGCACAAAGATAATTACTTTGTCCATACTAGGTTCTAGATAAGACAAACTGATAGTCTGAAAATTGGAAACTGTGTTAGGTGCTGCAGAGGACTTTATTTGCTTAAAAAATCCTTGGCATAGAATTTTTTTATTTGGTAAAAAGCAAGAAGTCTAACCAAGAAAGAATTAATCTTTTTTATAGTCTGAGGCATTTGCACAATCTGTATTCACGTTGCTTTAGTGTGAGAGCAGCTGAAATCACACACCCTCAGGGAATGGCAGGAGCTGCCTACCCTGCCTGCATGGGGAAGAGGCAAGGGCAAATTCAGAAGGGATGTATGGATAGTTCATAGGCGACAGCAATCTTTCCTCTGCTGCCTTCTTCCTCCACTGTTCCCTGAGAATCACTAGACCAGCCATATCCTGAAGATAAGATAAATTGGAAGAAAGGGATCTTTCTGACTAACAGTCATTCCTCCATTGCTAAGTATCTGTATTATCCATCTGTGAATTTATGCTATCAGTATGTGTGTCTGAGAAGAACCCTGACTTCTATGTTCTGGATCCAAAGGAAAAACAGCCCAGAGGAAGGTGAAATGATTTCCAGAAGGAACACAGTTAAAATATAAGAAGGCACCATTGCTTCTTCTCAGATGGAAGCAAAATATTTAGTGATCACATTATACTCCAATGGGACAATCAAAGGAAATGTGATCTGATGAGCAGTGAGATGTGAACTTTGGGTTGCTGAGGTTCTTCTAGGACCAACTTCTCTCCTAGCAAAATGAAAGAAAGAGTATCAAAAGAAGCAAAGGAAAGCTGTCTCATTATCCTGGATCTGCACTCTGCTGGGGCACTCATTTACATAAAGCCACACCTGAGTGGAGTGTGCTGCTCTGGAACTAACAGAAGTGCTGGCAGAGTGCTATTATAGTTGGAAAGTGAACTGCAAGCCTGGTGCCAGGATCCTGCGTCCCAACCCTGATTGTTCTTAGCTACTCTCTGGACTCCAGTTTCTGCAGCTGTAAAAGGGGAACACGTAACTCGGGAGCTATAACCATTTCTTTCCAGAACTAGTACCCTTTGACAGTTCACGGTATTGTATTGGGAAGCTGGCAGTGTGGTCCGGGTGAGGGTTATCATATCAATAGCAGAACCTGACATGGTGCACATGAGTGAGAGCAATCGGAGAGTGTGGGTGAGAGAGACACATCCCGACAGAATCTCATTTTGGGGGAGACAGTAAAACTCAAGTGCACTCACCGTGGCGTATAAGGCAGAGTAAATGCTCAGCGCAGCATGTTTGGAGGGAAAGGATCTCCGAGCCTTTTCTATTACTTCCAGATCCCCAGTACAAATGTTCCCATTGTTTACAAACTGGTGGTGTGCCTGGCAGTCTGTACTGGTGTAATTCGGCTTGCACACTGTCAGGAAGTATGGTGTGAGGTGCCCAGTGACCACTTGTCCGGCATTTACAAAAATGTCAGTAGCAAAAAGTCCAAATGCAAACACTCCTAGGAGGAGATTGAAAAGAATTAAGAATATCAGCATGCATCATTGATTAGTTTTGTGACAGAGAGCAAACAAAGCAGTGAGGGTCTACCATAACTTACCAAAAGAATTGTCAGGCTCTCCACAGTCAGGATTTCCCTCACTTTTATCTTTTCAGGGAGTGGAGCCTGCTTCCCAGATCACCATTATTTCTTTCAAACTGAGGCAGACAATCTACTGTTAGCATTTTATTGTTTTGTGTAAGTAATTTAGAAACAACATAGACTGACGGAAAGAATTTGAAGTTTGGAGTCTCAGAGATCTGAGCTTCAGATCTATTTTTGGTGACTTTACAACTTAGATTTAAAGTGTAAATCTAAATAATAAATTTCTTCCCAAAGAAATTCATTAGACTACAAACTGTGTTTGAAAAATTATTAGATCATCAATGGATTCATTCATGGGATAGGATTAGCAGCTACATATGCTGTCATTAATTGGCATTTGATCAGAAGCCATAGGTCACCAGGGACATGACCTGAAAGAGTATATTCTTGTTTTTAGTTCCTCCCTTCACTTTCTATTTCTTGCCTGCTGTGAATGAATCAACTTTGCTCTGCCGTGCCCCTAGGCCACACTGATTCAGCTCTGCAGTAAACCAGCAATGGAGAGAATGAGCCAAAATCAACCCATTTTCCTTTAAGATGTATGTGTTGTGCATTCTGTTCCAATGACAAGAAAACCCACCAATAGAGCAAGTTGGTACCAGAAGTATAATTGTCACTGCAACTATACCTGACCACGTGATTAATAAGCTTTTGGATCTGTTTTGTGGGGTGAGTTTGAGAAAGGTTTGGATACTTTGGTTAGAAAAGCCTCAGAATGCTCTAACTAGAGATTGATGAGATAATATGCTCAGTGCTGTGAAGGCCAGAATGCTGGTAAGAATGGAGACAAAGCCAACTCCTGAGTTTTCAGGTGGGAATAAGGATGCTATTGGAAATTACACTAGAGGCTATGTGTGCTACTTCTGATAAGGAATTTGTCTATGTTTTGCCCATACACTGACTTGCATGAGGCTGAACTTAAAGGTGGTGAACTAAACTGATGGAGGAAATTTTGAGACAGCTCAATATTCAGGCTGTGGCCTGAGTAGTTCTGCCTGCTCTTAGCCAGATCTGTAGGGAGAACCAGGAGAAAAAAAGCAGAGCTGAATAATTTGAAAAATTTGCAACCCTGCCAAAAAAGAAGCACATGCAAAGTTAGAGCCAAGAAGAAAGAGAAGAGCTAGTTATTAAAAATGTTATCATTAAACAGAAGCCGGGTCAGGGCAGTAGGACAGATGGCTTGAACGCTCTTTAGGAATTAGCCATACTCAACCATTTCTAGACTCAAGGCCATAAAAATGTAAATGCCTTAAAAACTCTGTTTTCGAAAGAGACCTCCAGGCTACCTAGTGCATTCAGAGCCATCTAGGAAAATCTGTTTCCAAGTTCAGCCATCTTCTCAGAGACTACAGCAGTCATGCTTCAAGGGGGCCTGGTTACTGCTTGAGTTGGCTCAGCATATTTTAGCACTGACCACATGATACTGTTGATTTAGGCATTCAGAATGCAAGAACCGTAGAGTCATGGAGGCTTTCCCCCAGATTTTAAAAGGCCTGGGATGCCAGGCAATGTGTCCCTGAGACGGCAGCAGTGAAAGTGATGCCAAAGGTACAGCACAGAGCCCCAGGTTCCTTCTGAAACCTGCTGACCAGGTTCTTTGTTCCTCAGGTTTTCAGGGGGTGTCTGTCTTCCTCAACATGGCCCTTTCCCAGCATTCATCTCATTTTGAATTCTGCTGCCACTCTCATATCTCTTACTTTGACTGTGACTCCTCTTGAGTCTTGCCCCAATTCTCATGGTACTGGGGACTGAACTCAGGGACTTTATGCTTTATAGCTCCAGCCTTTTTAAAATTTTGAGACAGGGTCTCATTAAATGCACAAGATGGGCTCAAAAGTTCTGAGGGTAAAGGCATGAGCTGCAATTCCTGGCTTTCTGTCTCTTTTAAGAATTGTTGTGGTTCTATTTGGTTCATTTGGATAATCCAGAGTAATCTCTTCATCTCAAGATCTTTAACTTCATCGCAACTGCAAATTCTCTTTTTGGTAAGGTAAATGTATTCATAAGGACATATTCAAGTTTGGGTGATATGGTCACTATTTTACTTTGCTGTTTCACTGAGAACCCTGTAGGTAGGCTCCCTGGGCTAGATTTTATCTGTTCTTTGATAAATTCCATTGTAAGTTTCAACAAGCTTGAATATGAGTAAACAGGATTGTTTTCTAAATTAAAACTTATTTTTGACTAATGTGTAAAAGCATAAATCTGACATGAACCCTATTACCTTCAACCACCAGATCAATTATCTCTGACTTTGAAGATCCTCATCACACAAATGATGTCATTGTTTCTACTGCATTCTTGATAATTTGAATATCTAACAAAATTCTTCATAAGAAGCTTTGTTGTGAGTTGTTTCAAAGTCCATTCATTATATCTATAGCTTATTTGTTAAATACATTGAGAGAGGCTGTGTAAAATCAAAGTATTATGAGTCATTTGATGGGATGAAGACCACTTTTCAAATGCAGCTGCAAAGATAGCATGATGTGTTGTAGACAGAATTAACATCAAGGGTCAGGCTACAGTTTCAATTATACTGTGGCTCAAGTGTGGCTCCTGCATTCAAATTTCTGAATCTGCAAATTGTGCTAATGTTAGCCTCCCAAAGTTAATCTACTATAGCAGAAGTGAAGACAGATTTGACTGAAATCTTCATGTGGGTTTCATTTTGATCTATATTGATTGCTATAATTTTCCTTTCTGTGGCTTTGCTGGAACGTGCTCTATCACAATAATAATGGGCTCTTTTAATAGCTTCATCTGGCTCACACTCATATGGTCTGACCTCTGGGAGCAGCCACCCATTGATCATCCACGGCAGTTTGAGCCCCAGGTTCCAGAGGCCTGAGTGGTTGGAAATTTTTTACATCTTCAAGCAAGATTCTCAAAGACCAGGTCCATGGCTTTCTCAGGGGGCAGTAAGTCTGTCTAGACATACTTTTCCAGGAAACTAGGATAATTTATGATTTGAAAAAGAACAAGTGACAGCATTTTCCTCTGGCATTTTATTTGTGCCCCCAATTAGGGCAGGTTTGTTCTTTTGGAGACAGAGCATTTCCGGGCTCCTGGGACCAGTGTCTGAAGTGCTATTGTCTGAAGTGGTTGTGGTCACAGTGAGTCTGTGAGTGTCAGCTCTGCATTTAGCTGTGTGGTGTATAATTGCTGAAAGTTGCTTTCCTCTTCTTTTCTTTGCCTCCTTTGGAGTAAGTCTGTTTCTCCATCAGAATAACACATTTGCTTTCCTGACATTTCACTCTGGTACATTTGACCTGGCTCCTGAAGGGCACTGCATCAGCCTGAGAGGTGTCCCTGGTCCCTGTGTTTGGCACCGTGCACAGTAAAGGAGATGGTAGAACCTTCGATGATGATCTACAGACAGCTGTCAGCTCACACAAGGCTGTTCTAAAACCCTCCAGCTCTACCCACGCTACTTAACCTTGAACTCCTTGTTTGTGTTTTTACAACTTCAAAAGCTGAAACAGCTGCTTTTGTCCTTAGAGTCTGAAGTAACAGTTATGGTTTTCTGTATTACAAGGTATGATCTGAAGGAGACACTTTTAAAATATTGACGTATCCTTGTGTGATGTCTGAGATTCTTTAAATGGGATCAAAATCTTGAATTTTAACCCAGTTTTCATATCTGTAACTGCTCCTGCTTCCAACACACATACACTGTAATAGCTGGTTTTATTTGTCTTAAAGTTCTGTTCCATCGATAGTGTTTGCTTCAGGGGAGGTGACTGTATTTCAGAATGGATTTTTGCATTTACAGCAGGCACAAAATCTAAAAGTAAAGCAGTTTTGTTTTGTTAGAGCCATGTGCTTGAGACCTTTATTATTTTTTGTGTGCTCTGAATTCTGAAACTGCCATAGCATATAAGGTGAGACAAAGGAGTTTCTCAGATCAACTACAGAGAAAGAGAGAATGCATATGCAAATTAGGGTGTCATACAAGGAGGGAAATTTGGCAGGGTTTGTATGAAGGAATGAAGGGATGCTGAATGCTCCTGTGCCATGCTGATATCAAGCCTCAGGGGCTAGGAGATATAAATTTCTAGAATGATACTTTGGAAGTACAGATGAAGAGTATCCTGTTCTTCTCAACATACAGCTCAGGAACCCTGCAAACGTTTTCAAGAATTTCACATCCAGCTTGGGACCAGAATGTCTGCATCAGCAGTGGCCAACAGAGGGAAAATCGGTTGATTTTAAGAAGACTGCAATTAAGACAAAGAGATGGGCACCTTCTTGTGATGCCTATAGTCCCTGTAATGTGACATAGACCACCTGAGGAAGCTAGAGCCAACCTCTTTTTTTTGTGGCCAGAAAGAACTTACATGCTGAGCAAGCCAAGGATGAAGAAAAAGGAAGATGAAGGTGTTTAAAGACCTTCATTTTGTTCTCAGGGCTTTATCTAGACCCCATCTGATTTCAGATGGGCATCTGGTGACAAATTAGAAATCTCTACTCACTAGTAGTTTAGGAAAAGGAGTAAAGCTCTCTGACTTCTCTGACCTCTCCCTTGCTATGGGAGCAGGATCAGTGTAAGGCTCCCATTCTTTTATTCTAAGAATGTAGTAGAAATAAAAACATAACCTAGAAATTTGCATGATGAGAATCTTCAAAGCCAGGGATAATTGATCTGGTGGATAAAGATAACAGGATTGATGTCTGGATGTCTACAGAACTGATCAAGGATTCCCGCCTTCTATACACAGGCCTTTTTCAGGAAGCCCAGACCCAGGAGACAGAGTTACCAGCAGGGCCAGTAGGTGTGTGAGGCAGATATAAAGATTCATTTTTACTCTAAAAGAGCCTGTGACCTTAGATGGAGCCCAAACAGAAGACTAAGT